TAACTTTCAGTATCTACACAGACAGAGCGCTCATAGCCCAGCTGTGTTTAAAGGATTCATTAAAGGAGAATGCATTAGACATGCAAGAAACACCACCGACCCTGAAATATTACATGCAACACTTAATGACTTCAAGACGCACTTATCAAAGCGAGGCTACTCTACTTCGGAAATTGATCCTATGATCAAGGAAACGGTCAACACAAACCGATCAAATCTCATCATCAAAAAGACAAAAGAACAGTCATTACGTGACCCTACAGTACTGGATACTAAATTTAACCCTTGCGTTAAAGGACTGAAAAAACGAATTCTAAAATATTGGAACACCATTCTTAGAAATCCAGAATGCAAAACTTTATTTCATTCTCAACCAATCATTGCTTACAGCAAACACAAGAATATAGGTGACGAGATAATCCGGTCTCACCTAAAACAAACACCATGATTTATGTCCGTGACCCCTGATGAGGCTTCTTAATAGCCGAAACACTCTACAACTACTTGCATAATTCAAATCAGATATTAATCTGCTCTATGCAAAAACATATCTACTTAAAGTGTGGTTTGGAGTGTCGGGTCCTAATAAATCTCTTACAAGTTTGGTTGATTGATGTCGCTAATTTTCACATTTTGCACCCTTGTCATGATGGGGATAAACGGAAAATTCCGTAGACATGATGACCTTACAATTAGTAGAAAACGCTAGGGTGCATTTGAGTTAATGTTGATTGTATTTTCAGACAATAAATATATTCAGGTAATCATGTTGTACTTATTCATTTTAAAATGATTCTATGTGCTTTCAGTTCCATTCTCCACTAAAATTAACCGAAAAGATATGTGTAACATATTTTGTATTCTAATACTTAAAGCATGAAAATAAGGTCATGATATAAAAGCACCATGTACACAGACTTAAAAACTGTAAGTCAGCGAGGGCTCCGCTGAGATATATCCATGTATATACATGCATCTAAGGATGGGATGGGAAGGCCTAATTAAATATTGTGAGAAAAACACCGAACAACTGTAATTATAGAATTAAAAAAATGACAAAATAACAATTTGCAGTGATGTTTTTACTTAACTAGTCAAATAATGAGTATTTCAACAAAAATATAGCAAGTATTTCATAATTTGTCAGATTAGGTTCTTTATCATTAAGTTTAGTCTGAAAAGTTTTTTTCTCCTTGTCCATTCCTTATTCCAATTCTGAGAGCTTTGGTATCAAAACTGCCTTACTGCTTGCTATAAAACATATCAAATTTGAGCACCTTTTAACATTCTTTTAAATAAATATAATGCAAAAATTAAACTCATTTGAATAAACAGAAAAAATGTGAGAAACAGTGATTACTGCAGATCATCTGCAAATATGTACAAAGCAATAATGAACAAAAAATTGATAGAGAACACAATACTACATACACGTGAATATTTTGGCAGTTAGAGTCTTCAGAATCAATATGAAGATCTCAGAGATTCAAATCAAATCTCAAATAAATGCAACAAATGCAAAAAGTGGTGCATGATTGTACAATACTTCATACTAATATTTTGGCAAGAATTGTCCTCAAAAACAACAAGGTTCTAAGAGAATCAAATCAAATCTCAAACAAAAGTTTCAGTAATTTCGATTTCAGTAACTCTCTTGAAGATGTTGGTAGTTTTGAGTGACTGGCGGGTACACTTCCAACACTTGATGTTCTTCTGATGACGCATTCCGACTTCTACAATAGACACAGAACAGAGCGACGCAAGAGAAGATGCCGGAAATGACACCGAGACCGGCCAGGATGATAGAATACTGAACTCCCAGTCGGTACTCCACGGTAAAAGGGAGGTTGACTAGGGTACCTTCTTGTAGCTGTGAGAACTGGTCGTTTGTCTTCAGGTTTGCATTGATCATCCGACCAACAAGTGTGGATTCAGAGACCACTGAAAAGGTAAAGTATGATGTCGATGTGTAATCCTTCTATAAATATTATAATAGTTACTCTGATCTTAACTTTAGAGTTAAAACCAAAGCTTGAAAGCCAATCTCTCACCAGAGGGCGTTTTTATGCTCCGCTCCAACACGGAGCGCGCCCTCTGGTGAGAGATTGGCTTGAAAGCCAAAGGTTTTTTTATTGGAATTTTTTATTCCATGACATATATTTTTTTTCATTTACATTTGATCATACCTCCAAGGAACACAAGAATGCCACCAACAACGACACGGGAGGACTTAGGGAGGACAGATCTTTGGTTCACCAAGAGAAGGACAAAGCCAGCAGAACACACGATGATTGCAAAGCAAGCTTCTAGCTGAATCTCCACAAAATGAGCTATAATAAAGTCATAACCACTGACTGTATATTGTTTATAGTTGCACTGATTGTATGTATATATTCGACTTCAAATTATTTTAATTTTGCTGTTGGCATACATTTTTAGGGGCCTTTATTATGTAGATCATATCCTTTCCACTCACGGGTAGAATACTATTCATTTTAAGATTGTCGAATTTTCAGGGAACAAATTATTATGTACGGCATACGTAAGTGTAGCATGAATTAATCCAATGTCTATACATTAATTTATTAAATATCATAAGAAAGATTTTGAGCTTCTGTTTTTTCTTTACTCTATAGGAACATCAGATTTTAAAATATTCTGTACTCTTGAAAAGTTTTACGAAATCATCCGCATTAGATTGTCTTGAAGTTCAATGAAACTAAATTGTATATATACATGTACACTTGTGGTACAACAAAAAAGAAATTTAATAACGTGTAGAAAGTAAACTTCGAACAATTTCATGAAAAATATCATTTAATCATAACTTTAAATTTTATAATTAATATAACATAATTAGTTATAACAATAATGAGCTTACGCATGCCCGGTGAGGAGGCGGAGTTATCTTCCTTGGAAGAGGATAAAGAATCCGTCTTGCACACGTCAGAGGGGTAACACATCTGATAATAAAATATACTGAAGGCTCCCTTCATCTAAAATACAAAAGAAAGCGAGTGTTAAAACTGTGCAGCAACATTGTATGCCGAACTTTAAACAAATGTTCATGAGTCTCGCCATTTTTAAGATGTTTAACGTATTCTAAAGTGAAGAAAAGAGATTTGGAAAATATAAATGGAAAAAGATTTGTAGAAATTTTCCCCACTGCTACAATTGTAGGCTATAAATTCACACAGTATGCCCCCTTCAGTTAAACATTCTAAAGACCTTACACCACATTTCCTGAAATTAGGTTTAGATGTTTTAGAACAGACTTTAGTTAACAATAAACACACGATTAATGATGAATTGTGACAAACAGTGTCAGAGAGCAAACGATTTCAAGGTCACTAAAGCTAGCCTTAAGCTTAAATTCAACGTGTGTTCAATCAATGAAGATACATTGCAAGGAACTGAATGTTATTTTTCTAAACTTACTCCCTTTGGGTACAGTTCATTGGTGATGTACACAACAAGCCATCCCGGAGTTAGCATGGCGACTGTCCAAAATGTCAAGGTCACTCCAATAAGCACCAAGGAAACAAAAGAAAATTTGGAAGCCATTCTTCTGCATAAATAATAAATAAGGTGTTTTGTTAGAAAGTAAAATGTGTTGTATGACATCTTGAGAGAGAGATAGAAAGAGGGAGAGAGAGAGATTTGAATTTTTAAATTTTTGCTTGAAACAGATTGAGAATAAAAAAAATATCTAGGAATACAGTTGGAATTGGAATGAAGTGTTTCCAACAAAAATAAGTGATTCACGCATCCAAAATTATGTATATTTGGTTATTTTTCAATAGTTTGCGTAAGATCAATGGACACGATGGATTATTTAGCAAAAGTAGTAGTCCTTCATTTTTTTTCTGCAAACAAGTATTTTCTTAAACGACCATGATAGAAACTCTCTAACAATGAAAGTTGCAGAATGGTATGGTTTTATATCATTATGTCTTGGACCATACTTATCCACAGCGTGCTGATTAAACGAAAATTTAACACTACAGTTTTCAGCTGTACAGTGATAATGTAACCCGATAAGATTTTAATCATTAAGTTACCATTCACAAATTGAAATGTATATTACCTGATTATACTTATAGTACGTAATTATGAATAAAGATCTGTTCAACATGTTCAATGATAAGAAAGATGACGGATGAAAATAATGAAACAATTTAATAGTATTATATTTCCTAAATTACCCTGAAATACGAGGGAAAGAGTACTTTAGATGCATGAATTGCTACAAATTCCAGGCGCGGATCCAGGATTTGAGTTAGGGGGGCGCCAAAATTAGGCAAGGGATCTGGGGGCCGCCTTGAGGCCCCCAGTGGGTCCAGGGCAAAGCCCTGGTGGGGGCCCAGGGGGCGAAGCCCCCGGAAGCTCCTGGATTCTAGAGATTTTGAAGGGTTAAAATGAGGTCTACCAAAGCCCTGGTGGGGGCCCAGGGGGCGAAGCCCCCGGAAGCTCCTGGATTCTAGAGATTTTGAAGGGTGAAAATGAGGTCTACCAAGTAGACATATTTGATTTACGCTAACTTTGACAATTTTAGGGGGGGCGCGCACCGGGTGCGCCCCCCTTAAATCCGCCACTGAATTCGCATGAAAATTAAGTACCGGAAGTTTCAATTCATGTTACCCTACAAAATGGATTCTCTAATGGTTAGATCATGGTTACTGGTTAAAATAAAATTAATGGTTCACTTTGTGTTGATATGGCCTAAGTTTATAAATACTAGTATAGTTATGTATTGATAAAAGTCGCTACAGTTTTCACATCAATACGAGCTACTGTTACCCGAAGATATTCATGATATTTGTAATGCAGAACCTTTTTCTTAACGTTATCAGAAACAGCGGTTTTTTTTAATCCGTCTGTGCTTACATCTACACGTGTGAACATAAGTAGGTCACTGAACCATTACCCCTGTGAGGGCAACAAAGATTTCACAATGAGTAAACTAGCTGTGCCATGAAAATTCATTACAATACGCTGCAACACTTTAATCTGTTTATAAGAATTGCACAACTCTAAAATTTAAGTACAAAACATGTACTATTTCTCTCAGTTTCAGCAAAAAAAAAGGGTACAATATTCACATGATTCATAAATTATCATGAAAAAACTGGAATTTATTTTCGGTACAGCAGTACCTAGATACTCTATCTTCCCTTTATTTTTGTCAATATATTATAACATCAAACCTCAACATAAGAATAAAATCATGGAATCTTACCGATGCCTTTGTCTGTCGTGTATGTGAACACACTGCAAGGAATCTCCCTTTATATGTAAACAAAGAACCACAGACTCGCGATTGCAGTCTTAAAAACATTGATGCGTGAACGACCCGCGGGGTTAGGCTCACGAAGTAATGGACAGACTTACGATTTGATCTTAACGATTGTTTTAGCAGAAACATATAAACCTGATGAAAATATAGCTCTACATCAAGTAATGGATTTAAATATTTTTTATCTGAGAGTCCAAGGAAAGAATTCGGAGATTCATACTCTGATCTAACATGTATTTTAAGATATGCTGAATAGATCTCGGCCGGGAAACAAAGCTAATAATCCACTGAAGAAGTGTAATTATAAGTACTAGTAAATATCAATTCGGCCGTAAGCAAAATTTTAATCTCTTTTTATATACATGTACATGTAGATTTCAAGTAATTATATACCGACTTGAAAATAAAACTGACAATTGACAGCAATCATGACTTGCAGCAGAACGGTAGCGTTATGGTTTTATATTTTAGTCTTTGACAATATTCAAGCCTAAAATATTAATGGATATATGCCGAATACTGTTCTATATGTAAAATTATCAGACTGTTTGAGGCCCATTAGGGCCGAAAACTGTCTGTTAATTTTACATATAGAATAGTATGAGGCATATATCTTACTTAGAACATTGCCATTTAAATGTCCAAAAGTTACCTGGAGGAGTCCGATAATAACACAATGGGAGTTTAGGCATCAATTGTTTTTTTACCCGTCTAATAAGTAGACAAAAGAAATGAGACAGTAAAACCATGAAAACAGTGAGTGAACTCTTGTTGCATTTCATTCATTCAATGACAGTCGTTTAGCTAAGCAGGACAGGTGAATGATTTCCCTTTTAATTTGGGAAATTTTTATTTATTTTGTGCATAAATTGAAATTGATACAGATTTCATTTTTTGGTGATATTATTACCATCACGATGGAAAGTAAAAATGGGGATTTTAATCCTGGAGTTTAAGTTTATAGAATGGAAAATTCTCTGGTTTTAAAAGTGCAGCTACCTGGAAACAATCATTATAAAATTAATAGATTTGCCGATTATTTCTCAGAAATGGATTAAATTCGCTTATTCAAAGTTCTGTATCAAAAATACTTTTAAAAGGTGGGAAGTATTAATTTTGTAAACTCGATTTGTTCATGGATTTGTTAATTTGTATCGCAACTTGATTTCGTTGCGATTGCTTTCCCTGAATTTTTTTCCTAACATTTTTTTCTTGTTTTGGACATATTTAACCTTTATTTCTCTCTCCTTTTTGTTTTTTAAATACTGTCCGATTTTGTTATCATTGCCGTCCGATAATATATTATCAGACTGGTAATTACTATTATCGGACGGCTACAGGTAAATTTTTAGACTGCAAGAACAAAGGCATGAAGTCACAGCAATGTTTTAAAAAACCATATTACCCTATATAATGTTCTGCAGCTAAGCAATATTGAAGAATTTTAAAAGATAAACAATACAAATATGTAAAGAGGACACAATGCGCGAACCCCTGCATGGTAATTCCAGAAGTGAGTTCAAGTACCTATAAGAGGAGTCTGGTGACAGGTCCTACCCACCGTAAGCTCTCTGTATTGATCATGTAGAATATTGTAGACTGGACATTTCGTAGTCAAAATCAGTATATAAAAAACAAAACTAACAATTGGTATGTATGGAACGCCGTCACTGCCTTATGTGGAGAACTTTCATTATATGCTGGTATTTTATCATTATATGCTGGTATTTTGTCATTATATGATGGTATTTTGTCATTATATGATGGTACTTTGTCATTATATGATGGTATTTTGTCATTATATGATGGTATTTTGTCATTATATGATGGTATTTTGTCATTATATTATGGTATTTTGTCATTATATGCTACTACTTTTCATTATATGATGGTATTTTGTCATTATATGCTACTACTTTTCATTATATGATGGTATTTTGTCATTATATGCTACTACATTTCATTATATGCTACTACTTTGTCATTATATGCTACTACTTTTCATTATATGCTACTACTTTGTCATTATATGCTACTACTTTGTCATTATATGCTACTACTTTGTCATTATATGCTACTACTTTATCATTATATGCTACTACTTTGTCATTATATGCTACTACTTAAGTTTATCATCATATGCTACTACTTTATCATTATATGCTACTACTTTGTCATTATATGATGATACTTCAACATTATATGAAAATAATTTTTAAATAGGTATAACATCGGGATCGGGATACCGTTAAGTGGTACACTTAGTTTAATTAAAAGAGAGAAGAGATGTTGAAAATATTTTAAGCTTGAGCGATGAACAATTGAGCAGTTCTGGAATTACTACTATTGGCGATCGAATTCGTGTGAGAGAAATGGTCAAATGCAAAACCGAGAGAAGTTCAAACAACAGTGGCAAATTTAAGGGTTGGCGGGAAATCTAGTCTTCCCGACTCCCGACGGTCCCGGATTTAGGATTTTTAGCGATTTCCTTTTATTGTTGCATAGCATTTTTTCAAATTTTTCAGAACATTTTCTAGGTTTAAATAAACTCATTAATACATGACACTTTAGGAGACATGCGTATTTATTACTGAATCAGCAGTATGACTATCACCTGCTAAAAAGCGGTAAATCTAGTACTCTGTTATAAATGTTTAAACCAAAAACGGACACCGGTGTTTTTGTAAAATCTCGAATAAAAACAACAAAATGAAGTATATATATATTTTTTTTAAAAAATCAAAGGAAAACCTCATTTATACATACTAGATAATTTGTACGCACAAAAACTTTTACATATTTTCTTTATTTAATTTAAAGTTATGCTCATTAATTATCGATACATAGCGATGAGCGGAGACGTGAGGTTTCGTAGATCATTATATTGATATTTTTTGGGAAGATAATTGGCGGTGTTAAAAAAATATATTTAAAACATTAATTTTCATTAAATCCATAACATGAAACGACTTTTAAAATCAGTTGCCTTAGAAAGAAAGTCGTCATATAAATTTATTGAGTTGTGGTGCAGAAAGGTGACAATGACAATAATTTATTCTCTTAAATGTACAAAGATACATTGTAGAGAGGAGGTAGGAAAATGTACAAACACAATACAAAAAAATATAATACATGCATTATAAACAGTACAAAGTATCATGTTCAAGTTCATGTCAATTATTTTCATCTATAATTTGTTTGACAATCAATAAAAATTTACATAATTTTTTCAATGCTGAACAATTTGTTGTTGTAAAAAGTTGCTTAAATTTCTCTATATTTGGTCTACATGTGAAAGAGTTTGAAATATATTTTAACCTAGCCTCTTTAATTTCTTTTTGTGTGCATTCAAAAACATAATGGAATTCATCACCAATCTTATGAAAATCACATAAAGTACAAATTCTTTGTTCTCTTGGAATACCAAACCATCTCCCAGTTTCAATAGGGAGTTTAAAGTTGCTACATCTAAATTTACATAACAAAATTGAAAATTTTCTAGGTAGATTAACGAGATATCTTTCTGGTTCTAGTATTTCTTTATAAATACGATAAATTACACCCTTTGATGAGTTAAAAACATTACTTTGCCAGTTTTGGATATTTTGGTCAACAAGTATTCTTTTTACTTCATTTCTTACCCATGCTACATTGTACATTTGTTGTGTTGTCCATAAATAAGATAATCCACAATCGTCTAAAATATTTTTAACATAGTTAACCCAAGGCAAATTATGCCTTGAAGCTAGAACATACATTTTTGTAGCAAATTTATCCATCGTTTGAGAAAAATGTAGTTTTGCCCAAAAAGAAATCATTCTCACCTTAATATTAATGATAAGTGGGAATCTGCCAAGTTCCCCATACACCATGTAGTTTGGCGTTTTAGTGTTCAAACCTAGTATATATTTACAATATTTTAAGTGAAGTTTTTCGATTAAAGTATTTTTTGTAAATCCCCATATTTCACATCCATATAACAAAACTGGCTGTACAATCCTGTCAAACAAATCTATCTGACAATCCATAGAAAGATTATGTTGTTTACATTTTGATATCACTGCATACATAGCTTTTACAGATTTATTGTATTGTTCTTTTATATTTTGATTAAAAGAACCTGATTTTGAAAAATATATTCCTAAGTACTTACAGTGAAACCTGTCTAATCCGACATGCACTGGGAGACAAATTTTGTGTTGGAATAGACAGGTTGTCGGATTGGACAGTGTTTAAAACAAGGAAAATACTAAAATGGGAAAGAAATTTAACGTCGGAATTCACAAGGTGTCGGATAATTCAGGTGTCCGATTAGACAGTTTTCACTGTATAACTATCAACAATCTCTAGACTTAAACCATCATATGTAAAATATAAATCTTGTTTTATTCGACCTCTTCCAAAAATCATTATTTTTGTTTTGTCAACATTCACTTTTAACCGCCATTTTATACAATATTCATGAAAATAATTCAACATATTTTGTAATGACTCAGGGTTTTCAGCAAATAAAACAGTGTCATCAGCATACAGCAGAGCAAAAAGCTTAATATACACATGAAGTTCATTCTCAATCATTTCAGATATTTTCTCTAAACCAGTTATATCATTCATGGTGAGGAATGATTCTAAATCATTTAAATAGAGCGAGAACAAAAAAGGGGATAAATTTTCACCCTGTCTTACACCAAGTTGACAAGGGAAAGTATCTGAAAGAACACCATTTACTCTAATTTTTGCCTTGATACCCTCATACATTTTCTTGATTATTCTAAAACATTTTCCATCTATATTACAATCAAATAGTATTTTGTTCCAGAGTCCTATTCTCCACACAGAATCAAAAGCTTTTTCAAAATCAATAAAGGCACAATAAATTCTTTTTTTAATCTTTTTGAATATTTCGATGATTGTATGCAAAGTAAATATGTGATCAGTTGTACCATAATTTTTACGAAATCCAGCTTGGTTTTCTTGTATTATTTTGAATTCTTCTGAATATCTATGAAGTCTATTATTTAAAATGGATGTAAATAGCTTTCCAATACAACTAATTAAAGTTATTGGGCGATAATTTTTGGGTTCA